TTAGAACTACAGTAACATCTTCTGATTTCTCTCAACATGGGGACAGGAGAGCTGTCAGTCAATAAATTGGAAAAAAAGTAACTTGCGTTACCTATTTGAAAAAGTAACTCAGATATTCTCTTGTAACTTAAAAAGTAATGCGTTACTTTACTAGTTACTTGAAAAAAGTAATCTGATTACGTAACTCAAGTTACTTGTAATGCGTTACCCCCAACACTGGTAACGTGTACGTTTCCTTGGAACTGGAATCATGGTGGAATTTCATGTGAAGTCCACTTCGCAGGGCACTTACGGTCGAATAAGACAACGCTTAAATGCTGCTGCCTGAACAAGAGACCTCCTTACTGAAATTAAAGTGTTGACTGGTGTCACTATCCTATGGAACGCCACCCTCCGCGCGTCAGTATCCCCCCGGGATCGCTTGATCGGTCGGCGCCGGACCGCGAATTTAACCACCCCTAACTCCCGAACCCCGGGGGCTATCGACGCGGTGGTGGTCTCATTCGAAAGCGGGCCTTTAGACATACACTCGATTCGTGTTCGAGAGGGTTTCTCGAGCTGAAGGGATCCCCCGAATTTGGTGCGGATTCGCCATGCTGTTACGGAGATATGGCCGCTCAAAGTTTCAATGGTTTTCCATTCGGTCGGGCTCTATTGTCTATGCAGGGTCAGAAAGCTCTCGGATTTCATCAAAAATATCTTCATTTGTGTTCTGAAGATGAATGAAGGTCTTGCGGGTTTGGAACAGGTTTCATATACATTTTTATTTTTATGTAATTAATTTAATATTAATTTAATTTAATTAATATTCTACTAAAATAATTGATTAATATTGTGATTCATCTGAACTGGTTGGTTGTTAAAATCCCTATACATAGAATAGAATAAATACTTGAAGAAACAAGACAACTGAAATAATGTGTGGTCACTACTGTGATCTATATCTGGTTGATGCTGATAATCTTAAAGGCTGATATATTGGACTATCACTGTTAGCTTCTTTACCTGCATTTTGCCTGCTTCCTGAATTTGCACTTAGCTGTGCAGCAGGGGTCATCATTGAGATGAAGGAGTCCAGGGTCACAGTCTTCATCCTCCTCCACACGGGAGTTCCCACACAGCTTACTGCTCCTCTCCTTGAAGCACTGATGGGCCTTGATCTTTAACGTCCTACTTACAGAAAACTTGCTACAGCTGGAGAAGCGCTGAGGGAAAAAAATATAACAGGTGAGTAAGTTAAGTAACTATATGTAAAGGGGGAAAAAATCAGTACAGGATGGATAATACCTTGTTGTTCACGTGATCTCCGCTGACCGCAATAGGGTACATAACATATTTGCCGCCCTGGTCATCACTGGGCGCACAGGAAACTATATTGTCTGGATCGTGTTCTGCTCCAAAGTTGTGCCCGAGCTCATGAGTTGTTACAAGATCTGCTTCCTGAGGAGACAAAATATCAGGTTGCTGCCTGCTACAAAACATCTAGCATACAAGATGCAAGTAGTATTTAAAGCAAACCTTAGTCAGAATAGTTTTCCCATAATTCATGGTGCTTGTCAAGCCTGTGTTTAGGTAGCTGGGTTTCCTGACGGTTTGTGATGGATAGTAGGCTGTAAGACAAAAAGAATGTGCAAGGTCAAGCACTTTTGACGAGTGGAATTCTACTGATCACAGTTAAAGATGTCCAAGATGGCGGCGCGTTCACACGCTGCGGCTTCTCTCTCTCCCGACAGAAAGGTGTTTTCGTGTTTTTTTGTCTTGTGAGTCGCAGTGTTTTTGTACGTATTCGTCGCGTCTATCTGTCTCTAAGCGCGCATACAGTCGTGAGTTTCTGCTCGATGTCGGCAGAACCACATTTTTAGAGTTAAACTCTGCGCACGCCGAAGAGCTGCGGGATCTC